CAAAATATTTGCACATGACTAGTGAAGCAACCAAGAGGGAAGCGGAATACCACCAACTGAAGGATTGACAAAATGCATGAGTGAGACTAGACAAACACTTGCACATGACTAGTGAAGCAACCAACAGTGAAGCGGAACTTCACCAAGTGACAGATTGATCAATTCATGGAGAGGAAAGAAACAAATCCCACGCACAAGGCTAGTATGAGCAAGAACTGAAGTAGCGATCTACATGGTAGTGGAAAAATGGACAAAACAAGAGAGATGAAGCACACTACACGAGAAAAGGCAAGAATTAAGGCTGCAAAATACTTCCAAGTGGTTCTTGGCTCTTAGCTTCTGCGGTCCCGAGTCCCGTCTTGGGACTCTCGGCGTCAGCGGTTCCATCTTTACCGTTGGTCTTGTCTTTTCCTTCTTTCTTACTCCCTTCTTTCGGATTCCTCTGTTGTGCACATCCTAACCATATGTCCTGTCTCAAGGGTCGGGACTCAATTCGAGAATCAAAGGTTGCGACAGCGTGCCATGTCCTATCCGTGCCGGCGACCTTGTATGGGTTTCCTCCGAGGAGTTCACACTGGAACAAGATGTCTCGTGCAAACTCCTCCCCAAGCGGTTTGGACCATGGACCGTCGAATCAGCCACGAGCGACCAGCCCAATGACTCATCGTTCGTGATCGACCTGCTGCCGCATCTACCGGTCCATCCGGTCTTCCACATTCTAAGATGGCTACTTACACACCAGCCAAGAACTTTAGGGGCCGACAAAACCCTCCTTCCATGGATGGTCACCAGGAGATCGATCGGGTCATCACGCATCGCAAGTACGACAATAAGCCAATGCAGTACAAGGTTACCTTCAAGCAATATCACCACGAATACACACGATCGATTTCACGAGCACACTTGCAAGCATTCACACCTCTTATCTATGCCAACTACGAGAAGTGACGATTAGGAAAGGAAACTTCAGCCGTCCCACCCGGACTTCGGTCCCTCCCTCCGACAGCCAGCTTCGCCTTTGCCGGTAGGCTCGGTCTTTCAAGGAGGGGGGGGGTGTGGCATGCACTGCTCCACACGGGCCCTGTCGGGTCCGACTAGTAGGAACGGGGGCTGACTCAGGGTTCTAGGGGTGTAGGGTCCAATTCTAGGGCAGGGGATGACCAGGTCCACTACCGGGTTTGAGGTTAGGGCCTGTAGAGTTAGCAGGCCTGGGTAGGACTGTTACCGATCCAGTTAGGACCGGCGCCAGATCCGAGGCCGGACTTCGTGACCAGTGCTATATATAGCTGGTCTTCCATCAGTCAGGTAGGTAGTCGACGTGCTGGGCGCAGTTAGTTTAGTACTACAGCGCTGGACGTGAGGTTAGAGTTAAACGAAAAGAATAATAAGAAGTCAAAAATACAGAAAGACTTCCAAGCCAAAACGCCAAATTACCACTCATGGTAGTTGGAAGTAAAAAAGAAGCAGTAATCCGTTGAAGAAGCCAATGTGGCAATCTTTCTCTATTAGCTTTCATTCGCTTACACCTTTGTTTACGACAAAGAGAATCTCAAAATATTCAATGTAACTAGACAAGCTGCAGAAAAGAACATGATAGTTCCGGAAGTGTTTACTGGGAATTTGGTGGGCTTATCATGAGCTAGGTTGGGGCAATTGGTGGTTTTGGGATCCCGTAAAAAATGCATCTTTGATGCCCTGGGTATTAGCTACAACTTGTATTCATTCAGTCATTTCATTTCGGTTTAAATTCTTGGACCTTCTGTCTAAACATCGTTACTTTTTAATTCTGTCTTGTAGGTACTTCTTTTGTTCGTTCGGGATTACTTGTGTGAGGATTGAGCCCTCAACGGGGCCTTGCCGACATACATATGTTCTGGGTATAGGGCCCCAGCAAGCCTCGTACCCGCCCTAAGTGAAGGCGGGCCAGAATATACACGAGAGGCCTTCATTCAGCATTTCCCAAAGTGGGTATCAGACAGTTGCCGCAAACCAGTTGGTTGAAGTGCATCATGAGCCTCCGATTCCTGCAAAGGCAGTTGAGCCCAAGGCCGGGGTTGGTTGAGCCCTGGGCGACAATCTGGGAGGCCGACACATCCCACATTGGTCCCTGGCCTATGGAAAAACAGTATTTCGTCGTAGAGGCCGGGGAAGCCAATGGGAAACCGGTACGGGGCCTGAATCTGGACAACGGCCCTAGCATAAGGGGCGCAACTGTATTACTTGGGCCCCATCTGCATTGGGCCTGGGTACAGGTACTGGGGCCCAGGCGCAAGCTCAAGGTAGATCGCCCACACGCAACACTCGCATATAGGCAGAGCGAGCGAGCGGGCAGGGATCTTGGCCATTGCGAGCAAGGCCGGCACGCTGTTGCATTGCGAGTGTGCTGCGCTGCGCTAGGCTGAGAGGAGGCAGGCTGGCGCTAAGCGGTAGGGCGCAGCCTGGGCGCAGGGCGCTGGCAGCCATAGCCAGGCTGCATGAGAGCGCTGGAGGAGGTGAGGGCTGTGTGGGATAACAAGGGAGAGTGAGGGACAAGAGAGAGAGTGACGTACCTGGTGGAAGAGGAGGTCGGCATTGGTGTTGACGTCATCACTAGTTGGTCGTCAAGTCGTCTGGTTGCTTCCATGACTGTAGTTGTAGGATAGGCCGTAGAGTAGATAGGGCGCCTGGCGCTATTCAAGAGAGAGGGCTACTTCGGGTTATGTTGTTGGTGTTGCCCAATTGGGCTTGGACATTGACTCACAACTTTTGCTGTATCGTTCTCAAATGGATGGTTGCTTGGTTCCAATGTGTTGTCTGCTCTTGCTTTGACTACTTGGACTTCAGTGTGATTTGCAATTGGGATTTTTTTGCTTTGTCCACATTCATGTTCCTTACACTTGCATCTGTTCATAGCTTTGCCACAGATTCGCAACGAGGAATCTGTACAAGGAATTCCTAATCGACGTCGAGGCAGATCAAAATATGGTACCAAAAAAACCCAAATTGAAATATGAACCAAAAAATCTCACAAGTCTCGCTCTTCGAGCCTTTGATTTTAGATAATTGGAAGGTAGAACAATTGATACACAAATTTATCAACATTTGTATGCTTCATACTGCCGTTGAGCTGCTTCCGGAGTATATATATACTCTTTGTGACGATATATATATATATATATTATAATATTTATGACGATATATATGACATGACCTTACCAGACTCCGTGAACTGCGAATGCCGCAGGGCCTTTCCGCATTGTTCAGATCTTGTGGACGGTCATGTT